CCAAACAATACTGAATAGGAATGGTGTTAAAGGACATCCTTGTCTGATACCTCCTTGCAAGGGGAAGGCTTTCAGTTGGTTTTGTATATATACTCTTGAATTATGTTGAGGAGTTTCCTATCTTGCTAACTTTGTTGCATGTTTTTATCAGGAATGTTTGGATTTTGTCAAATGTCTTTTCTGTATCAATCAATATGATCATGTGGTTCTTTTCTTTTTTCTTATTTGTAGGGTGGATTACATTGATTGTTTTTATAATGTTGAACCATCTTGCATCCCTGGTATGAATCCCACTTGGTCATGTTGTATTATTTTTTTGATGTGTTGTTGAATTCTGTTGGCTTGGATTTTGATGAGAATTTTTACATCTATGTTCATGAGGGATATTGGTCTATAATTTTCTTCCTTTGTGACATCCTTCCCTGGTTTTGGTATGAAGGTTATGCTTGCTTCATAGAATGTATTAGGGAGTTTTCCATCCTCTTCTATATTGTGGAATAATTTAAGTAGAATTGGTGACAGCTCTTCCCTGAATGTTTGGTAAAACTCACCAGTGAAGCCACCTGGTTCTGGACATTTTTTGGTAGGGAGTTTTTTGATGTCCTGGTCAATTTTTTCCTTTGTTATAGGTCTGTTCGAGTTTTCTACTTCACTCGGTGTAAGTTTAGCTAGTTCGTGCTTTTCTAAAAATGTATCCATCTCCTCTAGGTTTTCAAATTTATTGGAGTACAACTCTTCATAATACTCTGTTATTATTCTTTTTATTTCTATTGGTTCTGTTGTAACATCATCCATGTTATTTCTTATGCGTGTTATTTGTGTCTTCTCCCTCTTTTCTTTTGTTAGGTTTGCCAGTAGTTTGTCAATTTTATTAATTCTTCCAAAGAACCAACTTCTTGTCCTGTTGATTCTTTCTATAGTTTTCCTGTTTTGTATTTTGTTTATTTCTGCTCTGATCTTTATTATATCCTTTCTTCTGTTGACTGTAGGTTTACTTTGCTGGTCTGTTTCTAGTTGTTGGAGATGTTGTGTTAATGTGGTGATTTTGGTTTTTTCTTCTTTTTGGATGTGTGCATTTATTGCAATAAACTGTCCTCTCAACACTGTTTTCGTTCTCATTTGTTTCTAGGAAATTTGTGAATTCAAGTTTTATTTCTTCTACTACCCAGTCACATGTAAATTTATGGAGGCTTGTTTTGTGGCCTAACACATGGTCTATTCTAGAGAAAGTTCCATGAGAACGGAAAATAATGTGTATTGTGCTGTTGTTGGTTTGAATGCCCTGTGTGCATCTCTGAGGTCCAATTGGCTAATTGTGTTGTTTAGTTCCTCTTTTTCGAGTTTCTTTCTGGTTGTTTTATCCATATTCAAGAGTGATGTGTTAAAATCGCCCACTATTATTTGTAGACTTGTCTGTTTCTTTCTTCAAATCTATTAGAGTTTGATTTATGTATTTTGGACCTCTTTCATTGGGATCATAGATATTTATTATATTTATGTCATCTGTTCAGTTGTCCCTTTAATCAGGAGACAATGTCCATGTTTATCTCTTATGCTGGTTTTTGCCTTGTTGTTGTTTAGTGCTGTCGAGTTGGTTCCGACCCATAGCGACCCTGTGTAGGGTTTCCGAGGAGCAGCTGGTGAGCTTGAACTGCCGACCTTGCAGTTCAAACGGCTTTGCAGGCACATTAACCCACAGTGCCACACCAGGACTCCATGCTTTTTGCCTTAAAGTTTATTTTATCAGAGATTAATTAGTATTGCCACTCCTACTCGTTTTTTATTGCAATTAACTTGGTATATTTTTTTCCATCCTTTGACTTTTTAGTTTGTGTAAAGTATGTCTCTTGCAGACAACCTATTGAAGGATCTTGTGTTCTTATCCATTCTGCCACTCTCTCTCAACTGGTGCATTTAATCCATTTACATTTAGTGTAATTATCGATGTTGTTGTTGTTATGTATCGTGGAGTCCGTTCCAACTCATAGCGACCCTGTACAGGGTTTCCAAGGCTGTAAATCTTTATGGGAGCAGAAAGCCTCATCTTTCTCCCACGGAACAGCTGGTAGTTTCAAACTGCTGACCCTGAGGTTAGCAGTCCAATTCGTAACCACTACGCTACCAGATCATCAGTAGGTATGGATTAATTGCTGTCATTATGTTTGTTTTTTTGTGGTGCTGCTGGTTTCTTTGTTCTGCATATCTTCCTGTGCCGAGTTCATGTTTTTTATATTCTTTCTAGTCAGTTTCTTCGTAGTTTTAATGTTTCCATGTTCCTTGGATTTTCATTTTTTTGGTATGTTGTGAAGTATTAATTTTCTTGATGTTTCCTTATATTCTTTAACTTTTCCCTCTATTTAAGACAGTCTATTTTATCTTGTAATCTACCTAACCTTTGCACCACTTGGATCTTTATTCCTATGTGTTTACCTTCTTTTATCGTAATTGTTTTGATCATAGACTGACCTCCCATATCCTCTGAATTTGTTCTTACAGTTTTGTTCTGTTCTTGACTCTTCCATTTGTCAATTGAGTTCTGGGTGGTGCTGCTACATATGTCAGTCTATGGTTGTTGTCTATTCTTGTTGGTCCTCAGTCCACAGAACTCCCTTTAGGATGTTTTGCAGCACAGAGTTGGCTTTGGCAAAATCCCTGAGTATCTGTTTATCCTGGAATGTCTTGATTACACCATTGTATTTGATTGACAGCTTTGCTGGTTAGAGGATTCTTGGTTGGCAGGGGTTTTTTTCTTTCAAGGTTTTATATATGTCTCCCCATTGCCTTCAGTACGTGTTGCATCTCAGTGTAAAGAAAACAAATATCTTCACCATTGGGCCAATAAACAACATCCATATAAATGGAGAAAAGATTGAAGTTGTCAAAGACTTCATTTTTCTCATATCAACTATCAACACTCATGGAAGCAGCAGTCAAAAAAATCAAACAATGTATTGCATTGGACACATCTACTAGAATTCCAAAAGAACAAATAGATCTGTGTTGGAAGAAATACAGCCAAAGTACTTTAGAAGTACTTGGAAGCCTGGCAGGCCAAAGGTCGTCTCTCATACTTGGGACATATTATCAGGAGGGACTGTAACTGGAGAAGGATATCTATGTTTGGTAAAATGGAAGGTTGGAGAAAAAGAGTAAGTCCCCCAATGTTCTGTTGCTTCAACTAAGTGATATTATAAGAATGTTTGTCTTAATCATTTGTTTTATACAGTGTTCTCTGTTATTTATTACAATTTGTAAGTGTTTAAAATCAGTAGAAAGAGATCAAAGCTATCACATCAATAGGAGCAATTTCTCTTAGAACACTAGATGGAATGTGATCAAGAACTCAATCCTATTAAAACAAGAAACTAACCATAACTCTTATCCATGGGGATTCATTCTACTGATACTATTCCATCTGGAGTAATAGTCCGTCATCTGTTTGTCAGATTCTGTCATTGCTTTATTATTTACTTAATGAGTTTTGATAGTTTGTATATGTGCATGTGGTTCTATACTAGTGTTTTTCCAACTTTGGTTGCTTAAAAACTATATACTTCCTGGAGCCCCACCCCTTGGAAATTTTGCTTCAGAAGTTTTGAGTCAACTCTGAGCATTGTGGATGTGTGTGTTACAAATGATTATTAAGCCCAGCCTATTGCTATTAACAATAGACGACCTAATAACTGGGCCTGGTGTGGCGGTATGAGACAAAGCACTCAGCCACAAGGTTTGTTTGAACTGCAGGTTCAACTGTTCAAGCTCACTAGTTGCTCTTTAGAAACCCTATCTATACAGGGTTGCTCTGAGTCAGAATCAAATTGACAGAACTCAACAACAATACTACTGCTATTAATGGAGTCCTGGTGTGGCACTGTAGGATAAGCACTGAGCCTCAAAGTAGTTCAGCCTCACGAGCCACTCCTCCGAAACCCTATACAGTGTCACTGTCATTCGGAACCGACTCAACGGCAGTTAACAACAGCAACATTGCTATCAACACATATATATTTATCCTTTCCCTTGTTTGTTTTTTTCTCTGTTCCTGTTGCCTTCATTATGCTCCTAAACTATGGAATTGGTCTCCTAGTTGATGTTTAAATCTCATAAATCATTCTTCAAGATACTGTCAAACTGAATGTTGTGCACATATGATTGCATAAAAGATGGTTGGTTCTCTGTTGTCTACACAATAAAATTTCAAACTCTCTAAAAGATAATCCTAAATCTGGCCTACTTCCCAGATTTTCTTTTTGCATAGAATGGTCTTTTTCTTTTCTAGCATTAATCATGCTCAACAGTTTACAGATCACTGAATATTCTGTTCTTGCTTTGATTGTCCTTGACATATCTTTGGAATCACTCATTCTCCAGCTTTGGAGTTCCTCTTTAAGAACTCTTCTCTGTCGTCACCCTTAATGAGACCTTTTCTAGTACTATAACTCTTTTTAAAATGGAATGAATTATTCCTTCCTTTGTATTCTTTCTTCTGCCTCAGTGTTAATTTTTAACATAAGACTTGTCCAGTAGCTCATCTTTCTCTCTGTGACTCTAACGAGGATATGAAGTAACTATTCCTAACTGCCTTTGTATGGCATATAGTATGTCTCTGCTCTAAAGCTGTCTTAGAAATGTAGTAAATACCACCACTCACCAGATTGTCCTCTTTATATCTGAATAAACTGGTCTATACTCTTAGTCATTTAACTTTTTTTGCCTCCTTATTTAGTATATGTATTCTATAAGAATTAGAACTTTTACATTTAGTTTTTTTTTTTTTTAATCCCTCTTTTGTAAAAGGAAATGGAACCTAAGTGATTCTAAGATTAGCAGACCTATGTTGATTTTTGCATTTCAACATTTTCTATTTATTTGTTACAATTCTGAATACACCTTAGTAAATACTGTTGATATCATTGGTGATGGCTACTTTGCAACAAAAAAACAAAAAACGCCAAAATGATTGGCTTCCTTTATCAACTATTAATATCACTTTTTTCTAGCCTTCTTTGAATCCAGAAGCTGGCAAACACAATCAGCCATGCAGACCTATTGGGACCCCTTCTGGAGTGTGGGGTAGGTAGATTTTTGCCATTTTAAAAGTACGATTTTTTTTATTATGAGGCATAGGAGCAATAATCCTTGATTTCTTGTTTTTTATCATCTCATCTATTCCTCATGGTAACAAATACCTGTTATCTCTTCACTATTCTAAGTGGCTAAAAGTATAGCGGTCACTATGTCCCTAAAATGTAATCACTGTAGTAGAGTTAAAATACAGGCAATTGCGAGTTTGTAGATTTCTAAATTTGGAAACAGATTATAAATAAAGGGAGAAGAATATATAGAATAAAAATAATTATAAATTAAGATTGCTAATTCACTTTGTAAAAAATTATACTTTGTGTTAGGGATTATTTGTCTTATATGGTAGTGTTCTGCAGTATTATTTTCTGAGCTTTCCTTCATGTTACTGAATATTCCCCAAACATGTGCTTTTAATGGCTATACAATGTCATATCCTATGACTGTAGCATTTTGTTGAACCAGGTTCCAATTCTTGAATATTTTTGGACAGATGTACTTGATATTTGTTTTTTAGGTTAGAAGGAAAACATAAACACATTCATGCTTATTGTATGTATGAGGGGGCTTCAAAAAGTTAATGGAAAAAATCCTTCCATTCATACAACTGTCATATCTTCATTGAAGTGAGGCCTTCAGATATAACTGTGCTTGTGTTACGCAACAGATTTGATACTGTTTTATCTTTCCACTACTATATTCACAGAAAACCCACCTAGTGCCAAGCAACCCTCCAAGATGCTGGTCATCAAAAAAGTTTCCAAAGAGGATCCTGTTGCTGCCTTTTCTGCTGCATTCACTTCACCAGGATCTCTTCATACAAATGGGAACAAATCATCAACCATGGTTCCGAGTGTCTATAAGAACCTTGTTCCTAAGCCTGTACCACCACCTTCCAAGGTATAATTTGGAGTCAGTATAAGAACTTTGTGCAACAGAAGTTTGAAAAAAATCAGTGGGAGTAAAGGTAGAAAATGTATTTTTTCCTATTGAGTCACTCACTAAATATTCATTTGGTATCTACTTTGGATATTTAATACTGTACTGTTCCCCTACTCCCTTCTGCTACCATTTAGATGCTTTGCAGGTTTCACAGATGTATTATCTTATTCATCTCATAAACTTGCTTCTCCTAATTTGCTGTTCCCATTAATTACATCAGCATTCATCTGATGACTTCCCTGAATACCTTGACTTCTTTTACTCATTCACTTCAACCAAGCAGTTACAAAGTCTTGTCAGTTACTCCTTTTATGCTGTCCTAGTTTAGGCCTTTGTTATCTTGTATTTTTATTATAGTGTACCCTTATTCATCTTCATCTCGATATTCATCTTCCACTTTGACTTCGAATGACTTCCACTCTTCTAAACTTTGAATCTCTCCCTTCCTAAATCACTTCAGTGGCTCCAAACCATTTATACCAGGGGTCAGTCATCATGTTTTTGTTTTAAAGGGCCAAGTAGTAAATATTTTAGATTTTCTGACCGCATACAAGGGAACTTCAAAAAGTCCATGGAAAAATGTCTGTATCTTTCAATTCAATTTTTCCATGAACTTTTTGATGTCCCCTTGAATAATCTTTGATATACATCCTTTTACTTTCCTATTTTTTAAAACCCTTTTTTAAAAAATGTAAGTTTCACTCTTAGCTCTACGTGTTGTATAAAAACAGGCCTGAAGCCAGATTTAGCCCATGGGTCATAGTTTATGAACTTTATAATAACATTGTCCAAATTCCTTAGAAATAATTCTGAGTCCAGTCATCTTTTATATCTTACTACCCCTTAATCCTCTTATCTGGGAAATTATTCATGCTCCAAGCTCATGTTGGAATCTTGGTATGGTGTTATAGGATAAGCACTCAACTGATAGGTCCCCAGTTCAAACTCACCAACCACTCCTCAGAAACCCTATAGAGGGTCACTATGGGTCGTAACTGACTTGACAGCACTTAACTGCAACAATAAGATGCTCACATCGTCCTTAAAGCTCATGTGGATCTCTCTGAATTTTGATAGTTAAGTACTTGCATCTAAAGATCCCTTTAATTCTTTTGCTTAACATTATGTCTCTTATCATTGTACTATAGTGCTTTATTGCATGTTTCTTCCTTTGATTATAACCTCCATAAAGGTGGGGTAGTTTCATATTTATTTGTCCTTACCATTCACATGTAAGCATATAATAATTGTCTGAATTCCCAGTCACCAAAAGAACACATAATTAAAATTTGCTGTGTCACTTGGAGAAAAACCAGTGATCTTTCCACTGTGATTGACGCTTATAGCAACACACAAAAAAGTATATCAGTTGTGACTCATCATGAATGAATATAGTCTAATTGAGATGATATGATGTAATAATATACAATGTCAGCTGATAATTATGAAATAATAGCAGATTCCTAAAATTAAAAGATTTAATCATAAGACTTTCGGCAGGATGGCAGACTAAGCAGATGCACTGCACAGAATCACTATAACAATATAACAAACAGACCAGATGAAAATCCTGGAACCCTGAACTGCAGAGGAAAGGTTAGAGAAGTGGATTGAGTGCTTGCTTGGAGGAGATGTTGAGCAGGGAGGGGAAGAGGGAAACTGACTGGTTAACAGCTGACCAGACCCATAATCACCATCTTGAACTTTTGTGAGTAGCTTTGGAGACAGGTGACCTAGCAGAGCAGATTCACATAAACTATAGAAAAGCAATGATCCCTTCTTTGCCCCTATACTACCTTTTTGACCAGAGGTTAGGCCAGCTGTCACCCTCAGCTACTTCCAGGAGTTCAGAGCTGTATGGTTGGAACCCACACCAGTGTGAGGCAGGAGTGGCTGCAGACTTTGGTGCCTGGATGCAGGCAGGCTCCAGACCTACATGATCCACAAAGCCATCAGACTAGCACTAATGTAGCAGAAATACTCATAATCAACTATCCTGCCCCCAGTTGTCCTGTGGTCCTAACAGACACCAAAACTATCTTAATCAAGGCCTTCATGAACTATTGTTGTTGTTGTTAGGTGCTTTTGAGTCCGTACCGAATCATAGCAACCCTATGCACAGCAGAATGAAACACTGACCGATCCTGGCCCAACCTTAGTACTGTTGCCACGCTTGAGTCCATCGATGCTGCTACTTGGCCATTCCATCTTGTTAGGGGTCTTCCTCTTTTTCTCTGACCCTCCACCTTACCAAATATGATGTCCTTCGCCAGCGACTGGTCCCTCCTGGCAATATGTCCAAAGTATGAGAGTCGAAGTTTGGCCATCTTGGCCTCCAAGGAGTAGTCTGGCTGCACTTCTTCCAAAACGGACCTATTATTTCTTTTGGCAGCCCATAGCACTTTCACTATTCTCTTCTAACACCATAACTCAAAAGTATCAATTCTTCCTTATTAGCTGTCCAGCTTTCACATGCATACGAGGTTATTGAAAATACCCTGGCTTGGATCAGGCGCACCTTAGTCCTCAAGCTGACACTAAATAGGTCTTGTGCAGCAGATTTGCCTAATGCAATACATCATTTGATTTCTTGACTGCTGCTTCTGTAAATGTTAATAGTTGATCCAAGAAGAATGAAATCCTTGACAACTTCAAACTTTTCTCCACTGAATGTTGTTTATAGGTCCAGTGGTAAGGATTTTTGTTTTCTTGATATTGAGATGCAATCCATACCGAAGGCTGTGCTCTTTGATCTTCATCAGTAAATGTTTTAAGTCCTCTTCACTTTCAGCAAGCAAGGTTGGTTCATCTGCATAGTGCAGGTTGTTAATGAGTCTTCCTCCACTCCTGATGCCATGTTTTTCTTCATATAACCCAGCGTCTCAGATTCTTTGCTCAGCATACAGGTTGAATAAGTGTGGTGAAAGAATACAACCTTGTCGCATACCTTTCTTAATTTTAAACCACTCAGTGTTCCCATGGTTTGTTCGAACAATGGCTCTTGGTCCATGTACAGATTCCTCATGAGCACAACTAAGTGCTCCGGAATTCTCATACTTCGCAATGTTGTCCATAGCTTGTCATGATCCACACAATCGAAAGCCTTTGCATAGTCAATAAATCATTGGTAAACATCTTTATGATATTCTCTGCTTTCAGCCAAGATCCATTGGACTTCAGCAGTGATATCTCTCGTCCATGGCCTCTTCTGAATCCGGCTTAAACCTCTGGAACTTCTCTGTCAATATATGCTTGCAGCTCTTGGACCTCCTCATTTCTTCCAAATGCTTCCATAGCATCTCTGAAACGGTGGAGAACAAGTTTCAGTGTCTCTTCTGACATCCATTTTGACCTTTTCCTTCTTTCTTGTCTTCTTAATGATTTTTTGCTTTCTTCATGTATAATGTTCTTGATGTCATCCCACAACTCTTCTGGTTTTTGGTCTTTAGTGTTTAATATATTAAATCTGTTCTTCAGATGATCTCTAAATTCAAGTGGGATATATTCCAGGTCATATTTTGGCTCTCGAAGACTTGTTTTCATTTTCTTCAGCTTCAGTTTGAATTTGCATATGAGTAATTAATGATCTGAACCACAGTCAGCCCCTGGCCTTGTTTTCACTGTTGATATGGAGCGTTTCCATCATCTCTTTCTGCAAATGTAGTCAATTTGGTTTCTATGTATTCCATCTGGTGAGGTCCATGTATATAGTCATCTCTTATGCTGTCTAAAAAAGGTATTTTAATTGAACAAATCATTGATTTTGCAGAATTCTGTTATGCGATCTCCAGCATCATTTCTGTCACCACGGCCATATTTTTAAACTACTGATTGATCCTTCCTCTTTGCTCCCAACCTTTGCATTCCAAACACCAGTAATGATCAATACATCTTGATTGCATGTTTGATCAAGTTCAGATTGAAGAAGTTGGTAGAATTTTTCTATTTCATCCTCACTGACTTTAGTGGTTGGTGCGTAAATTTGAATAATAGTGCTATTAACTGGGCTTCCCTGTAGACTCATTGATATTATCGTATCATAGACAGCGTTGTACCTCATGACAGATCTGGATATGTTCTTTTTGACAATGAATGCAACACCATTCATCTTTAATTTGTCATTCCCGGCATAGTAAACCATGTGGTCATCAGATTCAAAATGTACCAGTCCATTTCAGCTCACTAATGCCTAATATAGCAATGTTTATGTGTTCCTTTTCATTTTTGACAACTGCCAATTTTCCTAGATTCATACTATGTACATGCCATGTTCCAATTTTCCATGGATATTTACAGCTGTTTCTCTTCATTTTGAGTTGTGCCCCATCAGCAAATGAAGGTTCTGCTGGCTTTTCTCTCCCGGGCTTTACTCCATTTCCATCTTCATGGTCAACTCTACTTTAAGGAGGCACCTCTTCCTCAGTCACATTTTGAATGCCTTCCAACCTGAGGGGCTCATTTTACGGCACTATATCTGACATTGTTTCTCTGCTATTTATAAGGTTTTCAGTGATTAAATATTCTAAAGTAGTTCGTCACTCCTTCTTCCTAGTCTGTCTTTGTCTGGAAGCTCTTCTGAAACCTATCCACCAGGGGTGACCCTGCTGGTATTTAAAATACCGGTGACATAGCTTTCAGAATCACAGCAACTCACAAGCCACCATAGTACAACAAACTGACAGACAAGTGGTGAACTATTGAGTACTCTGAAAATAGAAAATCCCTATGCCTATAAGGAGCTCTGGTAGCGTAGTGGTTACGAATCGGGCTGCGAACCTTAAGGTCAGCAGTTCGAAACTACCAGGCGCTCCGCGGGAGAAAGATGAGGCTTTCTACTCCCGTAAGGATTTACACCCTCGGAAACCCTGTACGGGGTCGCTATGGGTCGGAACCGACTCGACGGCACTTAACAACAACAACAACATGCCTATAGAAGGAGTTCTGGTGTGGTGCTGCAT